TCTACAGATTTCCCTCTCCTCCTTTCCTCCTCAATCCTTCTGATTTCTTTCTGCACCATTTGCCGTCTTTCTTGGGTATTTGCTTTCTCCCACTGCTGGAAATGAGAGAAGCCAACTCCTTGTCTTCCGACGCAGGTATTCCCGATGATATCCTTCAACTCGAGCATACTCTCTGCTTCACCAACTGCAGTGCTTGCTGACCACTTTCTCCCTGTTCTTGTCTGTATCCCTGCCTCGCTGATTTTCACGTCTTTGGAGTCCCTCAGAGTCATCACCAGCCTGCATTTTGCTACCTTGAACTCTTCAACGACCGATTTGAATGGTAGTTGTAGTTCTGCCGAACAACTGTACAGCCCAACTGATGTGAAACTTGGTGGGACCCCAAGCCACTTCCGCAGGTACCCATTCACCATCTTCTCTAACCCTTCTACTGTTGAGGTTGGTATTTCATACAGTAGCAGCAGCCATGTGAGCCTTGGTAGCATGCCATGCTGGTATATCCATGCTTTGTACTTTCCAGGAAGTCCCGACTTGTGGATCTTCTTCATCCACTGGCGCACTTGGCTTTGGGTGTTCTTGTGGTTCTGGCTGTCACTGAGTGTGTCGTCAAACCATTTCCCTAGGCACTTTATGGGGCTGCCAATGATTGAAGGTATCTCCTCCTCTTGGACCTTCAGTACAAACTGTCGGCTGAGTCTGCCATTCCTCATAATCATGCAACGTGATTTCCGAGGTTTGAACTGCATCCGTGCCCATGTAACTACCTCCTCCAGCGCGGACAAGACCCATCTGGCCTGTACATGTGTGGTGGTAGTGATCGTTAGGTCATCCATGAAGCCTCTATTGGCTGGTTGGTAGATGCCAGACTCCATTCTAGGTCCTCTGGTTTCTCTCTCTGCTGCCTTGATGATGATATTCATTCCCATGATGAAGAGTATAGGTGAAATGGTACATCCTGTAACTATTCCCTTTTCCAGGTCTTGCCACGCTGTAGTGCTTTCCCCAACTGTAAACCGCAACTGTATCCCTCCGAAGTAGCTCATTATCATTTTCCGGATGTGCTCCGGAATATGATAATGGTCCAGGGCTGCCTCAATCAGTTTGTGTGGTACAGATCCATAGGCGTTTGCAAGATCTAACCATACCACTGTCAGGTTACCTTTTTTCTGCTTGGCTTCTCTGATCAGTTGGCTGATGACGCTTGTATGTTCTACGCATCCTGAAAACCCAGGGATTCCTCCCTTCTGACTTGAGGTGTCGACGTAACTGTTTTCCACCATGTAGGCTGTCATGCGCTTGGCAAGTATCGAGAAGAAGATCTTTCCTTCGACACTCAGCAGCGATATGGTCCTAAATTGTTCAACTGTCTTGGAGTCTTTCTCTTTAGGAGCAAAGATTCCCTCTGCTTTCTTCCAGCACGCCGGTATGGTCCCTTTCTTCCATACTTTACAGATTAGCTGCCACAGTCTTCTTAGCAGTCTTGGACATTTCTTGTAAACCCTGTACGTTATCCCACTTGGTCCTGGGGCTGATCCTGATCTTGCCTTTTTCACCACATCTTGAATCTCTTTCCAGGTAGGAAGTTTGGTATCCAATGGTGCACTTGGGGCCTCTACCTCTAAGATTCTTGGACAATATCCTAAAGGTTCTGCTCTCCTGTTGTCTGAATGGACACCTTTGAGATGAGCTTCCACTTCCTCCTTCGAGCTTTCCAGATGGCCTGATCTCTCTGCTCCTAGCAAAGTTTTTGAGAACTGGAATGGATCTTTAACAAAATCTGCTCTTCTCTTCGCTCTCTCCTTCCTTCCCTTCCTTAGTCTTTCTGCATTCCTTAGGCGGCGAAGTGTCTCCCTAAGGTCGTCTCTTATCTGCTGTATCCCAACTTTTTCACTCTCTGGTGCTGTTTTAAACCTCTTTCCTAATTCCCTCAGCTCCTTTCGTAGTTGTTTGATCTTACGTTCCCTCCTGTTCTCCTTTGTTGTCTTTGCTCTGGGTTGTGTTCTGGATGTTTCCACTCCGAATCGCTCTTTGCATACACTGTACACAATTGACGTCAGTGCTTCTACTTTCCTCTCCACATTCCCCTGTAGAGTGGTCTCCAAAATAGCCTCCAGGTCCTGATCAAGATTTCGCCAAGCTGCCTCGTCATTTGTCTTGGGCCACTGCACTTTGTCTAATCTCCTGTCCCTCACTGCTTGAACACCATGGGCGCTCGCTTCATTCAAGTTACCAATGCTGCCATCTGGCGACACCGAAGCTTGGAGGCTCTCTGTACTATGGTTTGACTCCTGACTGAGTTCCTCCTGCGTCTCACCAGATTCATTGCTGATATCTGTGCGCTGCGTTAGTATCTCCCTATGGCCACATTTGGTCCTTGCCTGATGGATTTTCAGCCCTCTGCTGTTCTTGCATATCTTTCCACAATGGCATCGTGCTTCGACTGGCTCTCCACTTAACGTTGTTTGGATCATCGTTGTGTTTGTCCGTGTCCTGGTCGTTTCCGTTTGATCTGTCCGAGTGAGCCTCTCATCCTCCCCCCCTCTCGGGAGGCTCTGGGGGTGTTGCTCTTTTCTTTGTTCTGTAGCTTGATATAGGTGCCCCCTTGCGGGAGCTATACTTCGAGTTGCTGACACAAAGTACCCTGCTCCAGTCTGTTTCTGGATGTCATCTGTCTCTCCAGCGTCACTGGTCTTCCCCAGTTTCCATCCAGCCTTTCCTGGAAGTCACTGATTTCTCAGAAAAATGATGATTGCTTACAGATGATGGTGATTCTGCATCTTGTGACATCCTTGACTTGTAGTCCGTCACTGCTGTCATTCTAGTCGCGAAGCCTCATTTGACGTCATCAGGTGATGGCCAGCCCTCTTCAGATGTTTCGACCCTTAATCACTACATCCTCCGGCTGGTGGGTCAGTAGTGGTGGCCAAACCACTACTCGTCTATGTCGGCTTCCACATCGGCTCATCTCGTTTGTGCCATAGCCAGCACGATGCTCTCTCTGCAGCTTCTCCCAATCGTCTGATGGCGGTAGCTCTTGCCCTCCCAGTGAGTCCTATTGACCGTAGTGTCCTCCACACTGACTGTGCGGGGAAACCTCTACAGCCAACCTCCACTGGAAAGAGCCATACTGTCCATCCTCTGCTCCTGCACTTTTCCATCAGCTCATCATACTTGGCTTTCTTCCTCTCGTGAGCTTCCTCGCAGCCTTCCTCCCATGGTACGGTGAGCTCTATGGCGATGAGGTGTCTGGATTGCTCTGTCCAGATTACCATGTCAGGCCTCAGTGTTGTTTCCACTATTCCTGGAAACACAAGCTTCCTGTCAAGGTCAACCTTCATCTCCCATGTTGACGCCCGTTCAAAGATGGATGAGGTGCTTCGAGGCTTCACTGTGGCTTTCTCCCCTGGTTTCACAAACTTGATACCAGCCTGGTTTGTTCTTACACCAGTTCTTTTCTTCCTTCTCTCCACTTCAAGGATATCCGCTAGGACCCGCAAGACGTTGTCGTGCCTCCATCGGTATCTACCCTGTCGTAGTGCTTCTTTGCAACCAGACAAGATATGAGCCATTGTTCCTCTTCCTCCGCATAGCTTGCAGCAAGGATCCTCCGTCAATCCCCACTGATGCAGGTTAACAGGAGATGGTAGCGTGTCATACACGGATCGTAGCAGAAATGATATCCGGAAGGGCTCCATTCTCCATATTTCAGCCCACGTCATCTTCCACTCTGGAGTAGTTATAATTTTATCCTTCAGAGACTTCGAGACTTTTGTTGAGTTTCTGTTGTTGTGAAACTGACCTAGTTTCCTCTGTTTATATATGACGTTATCATGATTATAGACCATGTCGGATGTCCCTATGACTGTCATGCACACTTTCCTATAACTGTTGGCAGACATCGTGAAGGGTGCCACATGTGATGAAGTTATCACTTACCCTTCTGGAACACGTGTTTCGTCATTATGTATCGCTAACCATTCTGGAACATGTGATTATGTATGCTTGTGAATCAAAGCTAATTAGGTTCGACTTTCAAAATGAATGCATTGGACAAATACAGCCGATTATAATATATCTTCCAAAACACTACTTCGTCAATTTCAAGTAATATGGAGTTACTTAATTTTATCCCATAATTGATCCATTTAATCTTAAATGTGTTACGATTGAACAAAACCGTGGGAACATATTCTTACGGCTCTACAGGTATACCGATATATACTATACCACACTATATGTTTACTGTTATTTAAAATGAATTTAAAATGGCTATTTTGTCATTATTGATTTTCATTGCATTTGAAATTGTTCATTACTAAAAACAAAATCTGGAACTATTTCGCACTGCGCGGAACGACAAAACTGTGATCGGGGTACTTTGGTGACACATATATAGATTACATTATTGTGTTTGAAGTTTTTATTTTAAATTATGTGATTAAAAAAAATCTTACATTCGAATCAATGTCATACTGAATTTATTAAACTCGTTCAACTAATTCAGTATGACATGAACACGAATGTAAGTTCCTCTATTCATTAAATGACACATATATAATTAAACCATCATTATAAGCACATTGACAAGTGTTTTGCAACCATTCGTTGATTTACAACAACTTTTCTTCTGATAATTCCAGGACATTTCGAGGCTTTTGAATTGCTGTTAACGAAGTTCCATGAAGATCCACAAGTATACAATCTGTGTGATCCCACATCACAAGACAAAAATGGAGACGGGCTGCTGCATCTAGTCCTTCGCCAGCCAGACGGTAGTCAATCCAGGAAAGCTATTGATTTATTGATCACGCATATCCGAAACCCTTCATCGATCCTTTCAACGAATAAGAAAGGAGAGCATCCGTCAGATTTGATAAGGGGAAAATATGATTCAAGATGGGGAATATTGGAACCCTTATTCTGTTGTATTCCCCCTCAAATAAAGCGACAAAAAGAGAAGAAAAAATCAGCTGCACACAATCGGAAGTTTTCTTCTGATGTCAACAATGCCATGAATGAAACAGTGGTTTCAGATACGGATTTTCGAGTAACGACACAAGAATTTCCTTTCAATGAAAGCGAGAGAATTGTTTTCGACTCAAAGATCCCCATTGAAGACAAGAAGGTACGTACACATTTTACTGTTAAGTTCTTTTTATGCATGAATGTTTCGTGTTGACCCAATTGTACATATGTATAAACAGTATGATTCTTGTCTTTTATGCACATAGTCTTCTCAGATTTCCGTTGCTGCATTTTCTGTAAATAAAGACAACCTGTTTGAAGAAAGTAAGGAAATGACAAAGGAGAAGGACGTGCCGCAAGAGGACGAAGAGAAGGAAGCGCATTTGCTACAAGGGAGAAAAAGAGATGGGAAGTTGCAAAGAAAGGAAGAGGCAAAGGAAGACGAGGTGTCAGAAAAGGAGACAGATAAGGAGGAAAAAGAACAAAGGGATGGGGATGTAGTATTAATGACGCCATATACAAAGGGAACGCTGAAAGATACCGAATGTAAGGAAGAGGCTGAGGACGATGTTATCATGGGGGAACGTGACGTTGAGGAAACATATGATGTAAGTAAAGCTTACCAGGTAGGTTTATACATGAAGAACTGACAATAAATAAAATAGAATGAAATATTGTGTGATGTCACATTAAACATATTAAATTATAATGATACTTTCATTTTAGGTGCGCCAGGAGAGAGGTTTTGATCGAACTTCAGAAGAAACAAATTTAACAAAGAGTGAGGTTCAGAATGCGGGATCTGCATTTATACACAAAATGCAAGAGGATGAAGATAACCAAGAGAAGGAAAGAGGAAGACAAGTCAGAGTAGACGAGACAATGGATGGAGCGGAGAAAGAAGATGACGATGAAGATTGCAACGATAATGATGACGAAATGGCAATTTGTGCTACGAAAAAACACATGAATGGCGGAAATGAAGATGATAATCTTGCGGTAGTTATTGCATTTTTTTAAAACAAAGATATATTTTGTCTAATTTCAGTATATTGAAGTATAACTATTATTTTTAAGAAGTAAAATTATAGCAACATGTGCCTTTTATGTCGTTTATAGCTGGAAATCCTACCAGGACGCTCAGTTATTCAAACAGTAAAGAAAAGCTAAATATATGTAAAAGTGAGTACTATTGAATATTTGTCTACGTTGCTTTCAAGTATTTAATAGTAAATGTGTCTCACTTCAGATGAACCAAGATGAACCAGCTGATCGAACCTCAAATGCATTCCTGGATCAGGTATTAATTTTTCATTAGTTTAAATATCATTTCTTTCAGCGAATTTTAACATTATTCTAAATATGTAACAAGAATACGCGTTCTGTTGACAAACAACACATTGACTTTGGTACAAACCGAGTTAATTATTGTCTATTTATGATATTTTAGTCTATCATGATTTAAGATTTCTTCAGTGTGTCTTAGATTGTTGATTGTGTTTGCATTTTCCTGGATTTAATGGATGCCATATGAGGTTCAAGAAATATTTGCTCTGCCGGAGCAGCTCATTTCGTTTCCGGTCTTGTTGGCCGTCAGTAATTTCCTCATGTTCTATTGTTGTTCTTTACGTATTCATGTAGTATTTGCATTCAGATTGAGCCCCTTGTGTTGATGATGTCACTTTTTTCTATTTTATCTGCATACAAAATTTCCTATTAAATCATCTCAATATAGAATTATATCTACCCGTATCAACAAGCTTAATCTTGACGAGATGTAAAGGAAACGGCAGAGCAAAGTTATATAATACAATAATTCGATATTTAAAAGTTTCACTTTATTGTTTTTCAAAATTGAAAAAAAGTAAATACTGGAACACCAATTATAATGTTAACATTCGTCAATAGATACATATGACACATATTGACTGAAATTACGTAGAAGCAGAAAGTTCTGTAAAATGACTAGTTCGGGTAGTGTCGTACACCACGCAACTGACAGGTTGAAATAGAATACTAAAGGACAGTAAAATGGAGCAATATATACTACACATGAATTCAGTAGCATACAACAACCGTTAACCACCGAAGTACAAACATATGACGAATGTATTCTTTAAGTTTGAAATAAATACGATGATTTCTATGATCCCTGAAACTGATTGATCAGGATCATCTAAATGAAACAAAAAATGATATAATTCGTCTAAATTCTTAATAAACATATTTAAACATTACGCATCATTCGTTTACTCAAACGTATTAAATACTTTTCCTAAATCTGTGATTTATTCCTTTGTTTAGATATCGTCGGAGCTCGATGATCTTCCCTGGGAAGTTGAATGTACCAAATCCTTTGTTAAGACGATGACAAGTAAAATCAATTCTACAATAAAAAACAAAATTATAATGACCATTTCCAAACTTGCAAAAGGGGACTGGCATCAGAGCATTTGTAAGGAATTACATTCCGTCCACAAACCCAAAAACACGCAGCTATACGAGTCAAAAATCGGAAAAGGCTGTAGACTAATTTGGCAGAGAGCAAGTACCTTTTCTTCCAAACTCAGTGCCACTACCGTAAATACTGAAAGACAAAAGTATAGGAACAAGAAAACCTCTGGCGAGGATATGTACTCAGAAGTTATTCGTATCTGGAATTATGTTAGCAACCATGATGATATTCACAAATATGTTGTCAATATTTGTAGTGCCTTGAAAAATGAGAACCAAGAAGTTTTCAAACGGGATCCTAAACCTCCAAGTACATTCCAAAGAACTCTTCCTGCATACTTTGGATCCGATTCAATCGAAATTGGTGTTGTGCGTCCACCTGTCAAGGAAGCAAATGAGGAATTCCAAATAGTAAAATTTTACACTTTTTCTCCAGACATGTTAAATCATATTCGCAGACAATCAAGCTTGAATGTTGACTTTCCTTTTCGTATCACTGACCTTGAGCATTCTATCATTAACCTAGAAAGTGATGCTCCAATTTTACTGATAGGACGAAGCGGAACAGGAAAGACAACGTGTTGTTTGTATCGATTGTGGCATCAGTTTATCGCTCACTTGAGCATACACTGTGAACTACCGGAACTAGCGAAACCAGGTTTGTTATCCTTCCGTGATTTGTTCACAAGTAAAAATAATTTTCCTTTCCCATAAATTAAAGTTTGATATGCTATTAACATTCTACAACCCTAGGAACCAAATTTAGTAAATAAAACTGTTTAACTTCATGCGTGTTTTCACTTTTAAGTTGTAGGTTATTTGTTTCGTGTTTAATGTAAATAAATCGGGTAAATAATGTTCCATGCTAGTTTATCCGTGTGAACTTCGTATTTAAAATGGATATAGTAAGTACTTGAGAATTTATAATAATATTGCAATATCTGGAGAAGAATCTGTCTATAAAGGATAGTTTTGTCCAGAAAGTAACTCATTGACTGCTAACGCAGCTATCTAATGTTTATTTTAAACATTAGGGTAGTTACATTACCTTATCACAAACATGCAGCTCGTCAGGATGGGTAACAAAAATATTCCCTCAGCGAGGACTTAATGTCAAACGTTCGTTGTTCCTGTGTAAAGAGTATGGAGTATAATGAAGCAGCAGTACATTTTACGACTCTTACTACAACAATAGTACACTGTATAAATAATCGATTGGGTGTGAACATAAAAAAATCAATATGCTATCTGCAATGGAAACAAGTTAAATCTGTCGACATTCTCTGCAGAATATTAAGTACTCTGCTTAAATTATTCCACGTATCGTATCAAAATAACTTTTCACTATGAATTTTTCATAATTGTAGAGAGTGGTTCCGAAAATTGCCACGGAGAACATAATCAAGCAGCTGATTCGAACAAAGACGTTAGACATCCATGTAAATCTTTGTCAGCGGAACCGGAAGATGATAAACAACACATGTTGGATGATTCAGTTTTGCTACATAATCGACTTCATCAAATCTTCGTGACAAGAAATAGATTGCTTTGTAGTGAGGTGAGGCCTATGACCAGTAACACGAGATTTTACAGATATAATACCACTCCACTGTGTTATATAATATGCTTACTCCCTTTTTTGACAACAGCAGCTATGTAAAATGGCTCGGAATGCATTTTGTCATTTTGTTTTTATTAACACTGAATATTGTTTCATATATAAATCCATAACGCCAATGTCGTTGAAAAAAAACAAAAGTGGAAAAATAAAAAATGTTGAATACTTTTATTAAAAGTGAAAGAGATACTTTAAAGCATAGGTGTGCTTTGCGCTATAGTTTTAAATCTTGAATAATCATCATTTATTTTTGTTTAAAGAAATTATGTTGAACACTCATTGCAATTGAAATCCTGTTAGAAAATTTGTTATTTGGATAATGAATGTGAAATAATTGAACCTAAATTTAATTCTCAGGCGAAAAGGAATTTCAATGAAATGAAACACGGGAGCTCTATCGCCCAGAAATTTGGTCTTTGCGACGATAGTCCACTTCCCTGGCACTTTGATGACATTCGTGATTCACAGTATCCATTGTTTTTAACTTTGGAGCAACTTTTGATCTTGATGGATGCCTCTGTCGGACCAAATTTTTTCTACGCGAGGGAAAGCAATGGATCTTTGAAAGGCAGACAAAGGTCGCTGTTCGAAGAAGATTCCAGCATAAGTGGTATCACTGAGCATATGCGAAAGGGAGGCATTGTCGTCCAAAACGAAACATCCAAATCTAAAGAGGCGAGTAAGCTAACAACTGAGGTGACATATGAGGTGTTTTGCGACATTGTGTGGCCAAAGATAGCAACAGGCTGCAAATACCAACCATTACTTGTCTGGATGGAGTTCATTTCTATCATCAAAGGGTCATATGAAGCTCTGTTACAACCAAAAGGTTATCTGTCCAGAGAAAGGTATCTAGATGTTGGGAGGAAGAGGGCGCCAAACTTCGATGGGAACAGAGATGAAATATATGATCTGTTCCAAAAGTATCAAAAAATTTCAGACAAGAAGAATCTTTTTGATGAATGTGACATCATTAATTCGGTCAAATCTCGCCTCCAACCTCAACACGTGAAGGCCTGGGCTATCCATCAGTTGTTTGTCGACGAAATACAGGATTTTACACAAGCTGAACTTTGTCTTCTCATCAAGATTTGCCAGGATCCCAATCAGATGTTTCTTACTGGTGACACTGCTCAAACTGTTATGCACGGAATTGAGTTCCGTTTCTGTGATCTCAAATCCTTGTTTTTCAATATAAGGGAAGCAATGAAAGCCGACGGTGTTCCAGGAAAGTATCTAGTTGAAGTACCAGGCAAAGTGCACCAACTCACTCATAGCTATCGGTCCCATGATGGTATCCTTTCTCTGGCATCAAGTATACTTGACATTATGACACATCTATTTCCAGACTCGTTTGATCATCTGCAGGCGGACACAAGCCTGATTCAAGGGGGGCCCCTGCCAGTACTTCTTGAGTCATCGAACTTCTCTGATCTTGCCAGGCACATTTCCGACAACAAAGAAGAGACCGAAGACACAGCTGATATAGAACTTGGAGTACATCAGGCCATCCTTGTCATCAACGAAACAGCCCGACAACAGCTTCCACGGCAGCTGCAGCAAAACATAACACTGACAATATATGAATCAAAAGGCCTCGAATTCAACAACATATTTCTCTTCAACTTCTTTAAATTTTCCCAGGTAATATCTTTCAATATAATCTTGGCGGATTAGATAGGATCGATCTCGTCAGGCATAATAAGATTTAGTATATATACCACTACAGTATGTATTTATGTACGTAAAAGTAGGAATTATTATTTATGCTACCATATTATGTATATTTGTGTCCCTTCATATTCACATTATCGTACACTTTAGAATTGCACAGGTGTTGGTAATTAGTACATTCCTGAATAGTTTTGCCCTCAGTTAATTGTAAATAACGTTTATATTTCCATACACAAAATACTTTACATTTAATCCCTTCTTAAGATTTTGAAGAAAAATTCTGCATATTGTCAATAATCTGATTTGTTTTAATATTCATGTTCAAATGACATATTTTTGAGGAATGAAATGTTTGCGGAAGGAACAATAACTAGATACCATATGTAAATAGTAAACCTATCTGATATTTATACTCCCTCTTACACCCTAGATACAAATACAAAACCGAAAAAATGACAGCATGTTTTTATTTTTAAGGCGTCGAAAGAGTGGCGAGCGGTGACAAGTTTGCTCACCGAATTGACACCGAATGACACAGACACGACCAACTCACGGACGGGCGTGTATGAACTGGATGAAGGTAAATAATGTTATGTTCATCAGAATGAGAGAAACGTATTTTGTTAAATAAATATCTATCGCAGACGTTCATCTTCACTGATGATTCGATATAATTGATTGTTTTCAGTAACACGTTGTTTAATAAGATTGAGACCCTCCTACATATTTTATTTGTTTCCTCTTAGCGAATCCTCTGTCAGCTCATATATTCATTACATTGCAGATGCGTCAACCTGCAAACATGACATAAATACAAAACATAAATATATATATATCCTTCTCTGATTCTGTATTTTTTTTAAGAAAATCGTTGTCTCGATAGTGCCAGAGTGCCATATGGTTATATTTTGTTGCATTGGGACGCCAGATTTCGGAAGTTGTTACACATTAAAATTTGTTTTGAGACCGATGGCAGTTCTGAAGGTTCCCTTAACAGTGCAATGCATGATAAGTGCTTTGATAGGGTGAACACTTGTTACTGTTCTGGGCATGATACATCAGATACATAACGCTATACTGTATATTAGTGTTATTTTTTAACACATATGTAAGTCAATCATAACCTAAACGTAAGAGTTAAATAAGCGGTGTGCTTGTTTTGTGTTTTTAGAAAAAAAACTCACTGAGGTATGTTTGATCAAAAGTATCACGGCGTCTCCGATCGAATACGATGCATATCGATAAAACGAACTTATTGCTATCTCTACCTACCACTAAAAATAAAACAAAAACCTACCTCAAAATCATCCGTTATTCAGTAATTGTTTATATAGTGATCATGCCGCTCAAAATATATAAACGATTAAAGATACCGCGCCGCTAACATTTGCTCTTTTGTTTCTTATCAGCAGGATTAATCTGGTATTTATATATTATTTTTGCTAAATAGCATAACCTTTTGTCTTTCCAATAATACCACATCTAGGGTGTGAAACGTGTAAAAGATGTAAAACAAAAAGGAATTAAATGTTGTTTTCTTAAGTGCCGTAAAGACTCGTTCTTTTGCTTTTACGATCACATTTTGTTAATTCTACTTCATAAGTGAATCATAATGTCGTTTAGGAAACCAAGTGACGAACTAGATCTTTATCACTAAAGATGAATGCATGTTTATTGTGAAACAGTTCCCCAGGTAACTGACCCAGTTAAACACATTGTCGCGATTCGTTAGATTCTGCCATCGTGACATCTAATGAATTCGCCTATGCATTATATTAACGTTAACGTCGCTTCAACACTGCGCCTGGTGAGAAAACAATGCAGCCGCGAAAAAGCTTTGCAATTTTATACTTGACATAAATTAAAGTAATTGGAATTTAAAACCTTTTCATACCAATATACTTGTTAATGAAATTGATTACTTCAATTTCTACCGCGCAGTTTTTCATACAGATTGCGGCACGGTTAATAAAAGCAATTCACCCTTCCACGTCGTTGTTGCTATACAAATTCAGCCAATCAGAGCGCGAGTTCGATTGTCGGCCATTACCTCCGACAACTTTGTCGGACATTGACACGAAGGTAAATACGAACGGCAGTGTAATAATGGTGAAGACGTGCGCCTGGGGAACCTGAAACAGCGACAGCCGATATGCAGAGAGATTGGAGAACGATGTGACATTAATTCCCTTTCCAAAACCTAAAACCAACATAGCAAATGCCTGAGATTGGTGAAGGCTTGTGGACGACCCCATTCGCAGCTCAACGCAACAAATATAGATATACACAAGTTCGTTTGTTCAAAGGTATGTTTATATCCCGATATTAGAAAAAAAATGTAGTAAAGCAGAGTATATGGTTGACAAATAGGCAATAATCACATAATCCTCAATTTCATTCATATGATTTTAATTTGTCTCAAGGAAAACTTTTTATGACACTGTGTAAACATAAGAGCTGTCGATCAAATACAGGGGCATGCACAGCACAGCACAGACTCTTGTGTTCTGCTGGTTTAATTTATACGCTAGAAAGAGTTCCGGGTGTGCAAGCAGCAAACTCATATCAATTGTTATCTTTTACTTTGATAAAACCAACATTTTGTTGACCCATTAGTTGTTTACATTACCAGGCATGCAGCTGTATTACATGCGCCTTTATCAACAAAATGAAAGTAGAAGATACTTGTTTGCTGTACTGTTTTAGACTATAACGGGATTACATGACATGTACAGGGAGCAATCAATCATGCGATATCGATATTGTTTTTAGAAAAATCACAGGAGGTTGGTGTTACATATCTGTTAGATACATACATGTATGCACAATATTACTCAATAGTACAGTATTGTACTGGCAGTAATCTTGATAAAGACAAATACACAGAAGGGTTGTTATCTAAAATTGTATGTTATGTAATTGATATAATGGTTGCAAATGACATAAAAACAATCCATGAAAAATGTGTAACAATCCAAATAAGAAACAATTAATTTGTCATAATACTGTTCATGATATATATCTAATTTTGTTATGTTTATAAAGCCACACCTCCCGTTACATTCTGATTTTACAAGTCATACATACTTCTGGTTTGTTTCAGCATTTTATGAGTTAATTAGGACCATCTGAAGAATATCCTGATCATTTACCAGCTAGTTGAGGAGAAACAAAAAAGTTCCGTCTTCATTGGAGACTCAGGCATTTTGTTGGGCGAGTTATTTTTACCAAGAAAACTGCTAAGAATATTCTGCTCTTATAATGAATATTATGTATCAGTATAATGATCAGTTTTTCAGTGCTATAGATTTTTCAAGTAGAAAGCATTTTCCTGGCAGGAAATATGTTGCAGTGAATCAGATAAGCTATAATCAATTAACTGTTTCAGTAGTTATAATCAATGGCAACTTCTCATCTTATACCTTGGTTCCATTTCTATACACATTTTGATGAACACATTGCTATTCCCAAATTGTCAAGTGTACATACATACAAATTCAAATAGACATTCTAAAGTGAGTGTTTTATATAAATTAATCCAGGGCATAATAATCAATCAACTGTTCATGTAGTTTTACTGTAAGTGATCGATTTTATTGAAAGATGTATCCCTTTCTAGTTTCTAACCAATGATTCTTTGGTGTTTTTTCAACCCATTCTCCATGTCTTAATGTTGTGATATCAAAACAGGAATACATTAAGATTATATTTTGAGTAATTATGGTTACACCTAAATTGTTTAGTCTTTAAAACCCATAATAAAATAGTTTCCTCATTATTTCCAGACTCAGCACTGAGCTGAGCTATGATATGGAGGATCCCCAGCCCTCTTCAGTCCCAGTTAACACTCCAGCACTGGCCATGTCGCAGCACCACAGCATGAACATGATCTTGTATAAATTGATGTCCAAGGTATAGATATGCTTTAGTACGAAGCTGAGATAAATTTTTAAAATTGCAAGATACCAAAATATAATTTTACCTCGATCAGTTTATCTATGAAACCAGAAACTGAACTATGCAATATACATCAAACTCATTTGGCATGTAATCTTCATATGTATATAGTCCTAGAATATTAATATGTATGGTATTATTGTGTACAATTTCAATTGTATTGATTTTCATTAAATATTTAATACCAGTTTTAACTGGACTACAATACAGTGAAGCAAGCCTGTCTCGTCCGACCCCTGACTATTCAGACACTTTTATGAAAATAATTGTATATGACCTGTGTATTTAGACTATTGACAGACTATTTCTGTGTAATCTTACAAGTATGTTATGCCCCAGTGAGTGTTAGGTTAGACAGGTTTCATTGTATATAGGTATAACTATTATCAATTAATACAAGTTTTAAACACTAGGAATTGCAAACCTTTATAGCAAAAGCTTCATGTTCTGATGTGAAATTGTGGCAATATAAAAGTATGTGTGTGAATTATTATTGGGTTTGCTCAGTTGGTGTGATTTAGGGAAAGCTATGTGGTATACCTTATCTGTTGAGGTATGGTAAAGCTATGTGGTATACATTATCTGTTATGGTATGTAAAGATATGTGGAATACCTTATCTGTTGAGGTATAGTAAAGCTATGTGGTATACCTTATCTGTTGTGGTATGGTAAATATATGTGGTATACCTGATATGTTGAGGTATGGCAGAGCATGATACTTGTAGAAAAATGACAGCTGAAGTAATAGTTTGGTTATAAATGGAATATCCGGATAAATTCTCTCAACAAACTGTTCTTTTGTTGTGAACACAACAATGTCACACCATGGAGCACATGTGACTAGCAGTTGTCCCTGTATTTGATCATAGTAGTTATGTTTTCTGTTAATTTTTACAACATTATTTTCATAAATCAGTACAAAATTCTTGATTACATTGCAAGCTTCAGAAATACTCATTTGACTGCTACAAAGGGACATTTTATTTCCACAACACCAGTCTCCCCTTTGTCACATACTTTACCATCAGGTGTGGCGGCTAGATGGGTAAATTCATTGTTTATCACTAACCCACAATCATGGAAATGTATGTTTTGGACAGACTTTTGACAGACATATTTTTCGCAGGCAATTTTTTCCCTTAAAAAATAATAATCTGTTGCTACAGAAGAGAATGACTTTGTTGGAAATAAATCTCTTAGAAAAGCATCAGTAGGACCTTTCTTTTTGAACATCTGACATGCTGTAAGTCTTTACTCTCGGAGTCTGTTCCATAGGGTGTTGGTACTTTGGAACCGTGTTGCCTTTTCCAACATTACAGGGTTGTCTCCACAACAGCTTGGTACCATTGTCATTGTTAAAGGCAATGTCATTCTTTTGAGACTGAAAATAAAATAAAATCAGCTGTATTTGATTTGAATTATTGAATTTTTTTCAGGAACATCTTTGGAAATGCTATCAGCTGCAGCTGAAATCAAAAGGCTACAACAACAGGTTCATCAGTCTGAAACCTTAATGAATGAGTACAGAGTGTGTTATGAACAACAACAAGCTACATTGGGAAATCCTGTAAGTGATGACAAACCCAAACCACTGACTGTTCAGGAGATTTTAAAACAGGAATCACAGATTCAAGGATTATTGAAATATTATACAGGATTCAAATACTCAACATTCCAGGCCCAACTTGACTTTCTTACTATTGAGGCCCTACAACACCATAATAGGAAACACCTATTTGGCCGCATCGTAATGATATCATCAGCAACATGCCCGCCAATTTTAGGCAGGAATTCCCAAATTCTATTGTAATAATTGACTGTACAGAGTTGAAAACACGGAAGCCATCATCATTAAAACTACAGTCACAGATGTACTCCGATTACAAATCCTCTACTACTTTGAAGGCACTTGTAGCTTGTGAACCAACGGATAATTTGATATATGTGAGTTAATTATTTACCGGATCTTTGTTTGATAAGGAAATAACATCACAGAGTGGATTTTACACATTATTGCAGCAACTGATTGATGAAGAAGGTGATGCAGTAATGGCTGATAAAGGATTTACCGTAATAGATGAATTGAGCAAACTTCAGATGTCAACCAAACACAGACCATAGTCCAGCATAGGATTCATGTTGAGAGAGCTATTCGCAGAATAAGGACCTTCAGTATTGTTTCGGACTTGATTCCAACTAGTGTTTTCGAATCAATAAATAAGGTATGGAATGTATGCTGTTTACTAACTCTGTGGCAAAATCCAGTTTTGAAGTCAAAATAGTATCCAAGTAGGTAATATTAAAAGCAGACTCGAGAATACATACCTGATAACCCAATACTGATCCTAGTAGCACAGGGCCTGGGTAAAAGAACACAACTGGAGTTGATTCAAATTAAGGTTGGATATCGGTGCACCCTTTACACACTTCAGAATTTGTTTGTGTTGTTCAGTAAGATTCAGAAACCTGCATCAATAGTCACACGTACTTGTGAACTTTGTGTATGATTTAAAGTACAAAAAGCTTTGTTTAAGATTCAAGTTATCACAACTTTTTGATATGTTGAAATATACCCAGGTGATGTTTTGAATGGAGGTATAGTTGATACTTTTAATACTTTAACTTTAATTACTTATAGCATTATTTTTATCCTGGTAAAATGTAAATTTTAACTAAATATATATATGCATGTAAGGCACTGAATTTCTTATTCATATATTTTGTAAAATAGCCATTGATCAGTAGCTGTCAGATTTGACAACTTGTGGGATGATTGGCAGCTTTTTGTGATTATCTTTTGCTTTGACAACCACTACTTGGTTCACCGACACTGGCTTAATTTTATTTCCCCGGGGAATGTGCCATGTCTGAGGAATACTGGTGCATGCTTGCTCAGCAGGTCAATCAGTTATTCCAAGAAGTTTTCCTTGTTGAATGGTTTCGTCGAGGCCGACAACATGAGAATGTCTATAATAATTACATATTTCATGCAATTAATATTAAATTTAATATTTGAATATCAAGCATTTTTAAGCATTTACTAAATAGACTTGTGTATATGAAGAAGTCACTGAACTGAGCTGACAGCACTATCAGTATTATGTGATCGTTGAAATTTTGAACATTTGCGATTGATTTTTTATCAAAGAAATATTGAAATTTCAGAACTGCAGATTTTGAAATAGAATAAATATTTTTGTGATTTTGTAAAATCATTAATATAAAATGCTGGGTTAATACATTTGGCGTTAATAAACATGAATATAATGAAGACAAAAAAGTAAATTTAAAGAAGAAACAACATTTTTAATTGTTAACATTTGTCTAAACACTTGTGCTAATTATAATGATGCTAGTGCCTCGAATATATTTGTCGGTAATATGAAAGCTATGTTGAAATGGGGTTGGTTTATTTCAATGGCAAAACAGGATTTGCAGAACAGGATGCGAACCTCTGGCAGACCGTGAAACGTTGTAAGGTCTCAAGAACCTGGCGCAGATGGAATAAACTCGCAAACTTGGCCTGCTGCACATCAGATCTTAGATATTGAAGAATGTGGAAGGGGTAATTCTATATAATTTTGGGAGTGGGGCATTGGGGTATTAATGAACTGATGATTTGTTATCAACACAGAATTAATGTTTTGTCACAAAAGGACAAAAGGGAGGGAAGGTAGGACAACTTGGATTAATGTTTATTTATGCCTTTATGTAAGCTTTATTCACTTCATTTGCAGAACTAGGATGAGTGCATTAAAAGAATAATTAAATATAATTAATGTGACTGTATTGTTTTAGACTTTTTATTTGTTCATTGCAAACAGTACCTTTATGAACAAATGTTTCGAATAGGGCCTACTCCCTTGTTTTTATATGGATTTAATCACATAGTACAGCAACAGATGACTGTTAACGTTATCAATGTCAACTTTTTGTTATATAATATTTACATTTTGAATGACTCGTTGACTGCCATGATTGTACGTTAGGCCTACACTACAGTCTGTAGTTTAGGGTACATGCATATGTATAGGTGGGTTCATATATGCTCATATTGCTATAGGTACGAACACACATAACCAGTTTAACACCAACTTGTCATACTTGAGTCTCCCTCCTAAATAGGGTGAGTTGACTAGTATGGAGCCGCGGATACCGCTGTTTAAAAAAAACGTCTGAAAAAGGAAACCAACTTACATGAATGCATGCTATTTTAAACAACCGTTTAATTAAAAGAGAAAGAAAAGAAAAACGGAATTTGAGAAACACAAACTGGATAATTCCCAAGCTGTACACGAACAGTATGCGTCTTTAACACATTTCTTTGTTAAGCTTACTGTAATGTTAACAATGTGTGGCTTATCTCCCTTTCTCATGCTTCGGTAGCATCTCCCTCCGATTGCCACCTCCGCTTGAGCATCATTTTTTGTTATATTTAGGTTGTGGACCTACCCCTCTCTAAAATAAATAGTTCCATTGGATAATCATTTTTCGGAAATGTTTGCATCTTGAATGTATCCCATACAAAAATCATCGGGAATGTTCCCGAGCCCTGCAACAGTCGCTGCCGCCATCGCCAGGGGCACAAGTTCACTCTGGCTTGTTTACATTTGATGTAGGAGTATGTAGTCACGCGACTTTGGTTGCTATGTGGGGGCGGGGCATAGAAGGGTACATTTTTCGTATACTGTTGGCATGCCGATGTTTTTGGTGGTTGATTTTTCTGACAATTTTTCTAGGTAAGCTGCATAGGAAGGACAGGCCTCGAGCTCTGAAATTTGACCCGAAACTCCACAAGGTACTTAACTCCGAACTCAAGTTGTTGTACACCGCGGTGACCCGAGCTCGCGTCAAGGTGTGGATCTTTGACGAGGACGAGGAGAATCGCCGTCCCATGTTCGACTACTTCAAGGCTCGCAATCTCGTCAGTGTGAAAACCGAACGTTTCACAAAGGGTACCTACATTTATTATGATTTTTTCCTTTAACATCATTTAACTTTATATGCCTAACAACGTAAATCCTTTCTCGGCTACTGACAAATATTTAAACTCGTAAAAGAATCGAATAAATATATTTGTCCGGGCCATAACATTTGACTCACTGAAGATAATCGTGGAATTCCACGGATATAAATATAATGACAAGGTGGTTTGTCTCACACCATAACTAGGTCCGTGCGCTCGACGTCAAGTTCACAATTAGGTAAAAAGTCAAAATAACTGTCCTCGCCAAGATTTCGGAATGCTTGAAAATAATGAACTTTTAGGAATACAATTGTAGATATTTGATGGCGAAGTGGTGAGACGCGTGGTATTTTTGTTCTTATACGACTAATGTAAAGGTCACCTTGAGGTCAAATTTCAAATTTATTGCCCAGGCCATAACGTTGGAGTCCTGTAGGAAAGATCAATGAAAAATATGGAAATATATAAAAGAAGAAAAGGCGATGTGTTGCGTAGCACATTTGTGTGTATAGTACTAAGGATAAGGCCACATTGCAATATTTATGGTCAAATTCATCACCCAGGCTTGCTGAAAACCCTTCACGACATTTAAGGGATACAAGTAGAATGGCAAGGCGATCTTACGTATATCACTAATTGGTCTGTACGCCTTAGTTCAAAGTCATATTGAGAACTAAGATAAAATTCATCGTGCAGGCCATGACTTTCGATTTGCTGAATTCCTCAATGAAATTTTAGATACATGTATATAAGTATAGGATGACAAGGCAGTGTGTGACATACCACTAATGGCTGTGCGTCCCTATGGTCAAGGTCACATTAGGGTCAAAGGTAAAATTGATTTACAAGGTCATTATTTCTGACTCGCTGAATTTTGGTTGGTTTGTGTTTAACGTCCTATTAACAGCTAGGGTCATTTAAGGACGCACCAGGTTTTGGTGTTGGAGGAAAGCCGGAGTTCCCGGAGAAAAATCACCGACCTACGGCCAGTTACTGGCGACTGCTTCACGTAGGCCTCGGACCTGTGACCCAGTGGTTGAGGGCTAGTTGTAGCAGTATATCAGACGCCTTTACCATTTGGCCAAAGCGGCCCCGTCTGACTCGCTGAAAATCTGTAAAATATAGAAATATATAAGGATGGCAATGACCTTATATAACCCCTTTTTTGGGTAAATGTTTGGAATATTGTATCTTTTAACGAATTTCACAAGTGCAAGATAGTGTTTGCGTTTCGTTCATATTTGAATATATACAAGGCGATCGACGCTGCTAGTGGATTTCTTTGTCCTCGAGATTTGATGTAACTGTGATGACCACATCTATCTCTGCTCATTCATTGGCATGGTTCATAATATTCACACTTTACTGATTATTTATTTAAATTTACAAGTAGTATAGATTTTGTTATGATTTTCATGCAATCTAGGGGTTTAACGAACCTTCCCTTCGGTTTCAACAGTACTTTAAACCGATTTGGATGTACACATTTATGACCCCTTACCTCACAAATGAGTCCTAGAAGTGTCATTAATGTTTGTCATACTTTACCTGTGTTATGTTCATCCTATCCTTTAAAAGGCTGAACCTTTGACTTTAACTACTTTTGGCCTATTTAGAAAATATTGTTTACTTATCATTGTACAGCACACCAACACAGGTTAAAAACTGTAGCTTAACCAAACGAATTTCTATCGATTAGATGACTTCAACGAACCAGCGAGTGAAAATGATGAATGGCTTGCACGTGGAAAGGAATTTATGAGAACAAGGGTATATCGTGAAGCCGCCAAGTGTTTCAAAAAGGGAGGAGACATTAAATCGGCTGACATTGCTAACGCCCGCCACAGCGAGGTTATTGCTCGAAATGTGCGAGACCAGGCGTCCAGAAAAACAAAGTTTCTTCAAACAGCAAAGCTATACTGCAAATGTGGTTTTCATTCTGAAGCCATGGAGTGTTATGAGGAGGCCGGTGCTTTTAAAGCAGCTGCTGAGTACTGTGACAACATCGGCAAGGTAGGAATGAAAGGTGCATTTATTACCTATTGTATATGGCATATACTTGTCCAGAGGAAATAAAAACCACCATTTTTTAATCTAAAATCAATCTTTATCAAACCGCCTGTCGTCCGTGGACCGTCGCCAGTCCGTCGTCCTGTAAAGCACTAAAGGGATCGTTCTCATCTTTTTTTATATGTTTATTTCGATAGTTATGCTTTGTTATATCTATTTCGAAGAAATACTAGACAAATATTTTCAAATATACCGGCGACCATCTTGAATTCTGACATTAGAGGCTTGTTACCGCTATAATCATCTAGGACAGTACTTGAGTAATATTTCTCAAATTTGATACATAGGTTTCCCTTAATTAATTTGTACATGTTTACTTTTGAGGCTAATCAGATAAACGAAATGACCGGCCGGCGGCCATCTTGAATTTTGGCATTATAGGTTTGTTATCGCTATATCTAGGATAGTACTTGAGTATTATTTCTTAAATTTGATACATAGGTTTCCATTGGTTAATTTATGTACGTTTACTTTTGAAAATAAAAAGTAAGGGTTTCTAACATGGGACATGGTAATAGTAATTGTGAGGAAAATATAGAGCAAAGAAGGTAAAAGATATTCTATTATAGATCTGATTAAGATCATTTCATGGAGGGCCCACTATTCTACTAGGAAAAAACGAATATAATAAGGACTGTATAAACATTTTCAAAACACCAGAATGGGATCCGACGCCAATGTGCAGAAAGTAAATTTTACTTGCGTAAAGCAAATTAGGGCCGGAAAATATGGCCGGTTTACAGATTAGACAAAGTCCGAAGTAGCCAGAGTTAAATAAATATCATTAAACATTTTATTTATAAACCAAAACCTGAAAGTATGGCCGGTTAATAAAACGTTGTACTTTATTGTACACTGTACTAAGCTTCGCAAAAGCGGGACGATTGCAAGTTTTTGATCATGAACTTCTCCGTTCCTAATAGTGGTATCTTGCTCTTCTATCCTACGATGTTTACATGTCACATTTGTTTTGGTTTTCAAGGGCCTGCTCCAAATTTCATCACGATCATGATATGCGTTATGTATTCTGTGTTTTCAATGAAGCAGGTTGATGAAGATCATTGATAAGTTGCCATCATGATATCGAAAGAAATTGCGCTATTCCTTAGTAGGATTTGAGGGTCGCTGCTTTTTTATCATACTCATAAGTGTACCTTGTGGTTTTGTGGTGACTACCCAGTCCTCTGAGGACTTTACACTTACCCTTATGGAACACCTGGTCTCGTTTTCGATTTTGAGTTCGAATTATGGTTTTGTTGACATTACGGTATTCTCGTTTTTTGTATGTTGTACAACATAAATTAGAGTCATGATATCTTTCTTTCTAACATGATCTCTTCATTTCTAATGTCCAGTCTTACTTCACGTATCTACCAAACGATGATCAAAATGCGTGTAAACAATTTTGTATTAAGAAAGAAAGATATCTTACAGGAAAAACCTCCTCAATAAGTCATTTTCACTGAATTACTAATTTTTTTCAATTGTGTAGTTTGAAGAAGCGGCTAAGATTTACAAAAAGCGTGTCAACAACCCTGTAAAAAGCAGCGACTGTTACCAAAAGGCACATTTGTTTGACACTGCTGTTAAAGTATTGTATGAATCTGGACACTATGAAAAGGCATTAGATGTTGTCTCTAGATACGACAAACAGCTAAAGGTAAGATTTTTAAAGTCACCAGTTTATGAATTATAGTACACTAGGAAAGGTATGAGGCTCACGAACAATACATTTAAAAAAAATGTAATTGGCAATTTCCTGTCACTGAATCACACTTAATAGATTTTTGTGGTGATTGGTCAAGGAAAAAGATTTAAGAACACAAAAAAAGTCGGGTTGGGAGAAGAGGGAGTTGTGGTATACTTATGTCAGACCTCGCTCATTTTGTTTTTATTTATACTTAATTGTAATCGCTGTATCTTATTTTTGTAGGAAATGGAGTCAGAAAACAAAATAATTCCACAGCTGATGAAGAACCATCACCCATGTAAGCAATACAACTGGGAAGACCTGAGAATTAAATGTGCAGAATTATACCACCGAGAACACAAATATGACAAGATGATGGAACATATGGGACACTTAAGTTTTGATGAACATCGAAATGTCCTTTTACAGTGGGATCACATTGATTTGACTGTTGATCTGATGAAGACAAAAGGTTTGTTCCAAATTATATCATCTTTACTTTCTAACTAAAAGTTCCTTTGGCCTATACAATCATATATATTTTTCTAGCTTGTTATTTAACTATAATTCAATTTATCCTGCCTAAAATAGGGTTCAAAGGCTATCACATCTATGTCATAGAGTCCACATGTCAAATTCAGTTGAGGGGCGCATGTCCTCAATGATGCCTCGTTCCGCTTATATAACTTGTGACACGATAACTTCGTATGCAAAATGTATTCACCCTCATACATGCTAACCTTGTTAGCCCAACAGCTTGGTGGGACGAACCGCGCATGAGCATATATTAAGAGGAGTAACTAGTAAGACTAACTCACTTTTTATAGCATGCTGTCCTGGTTGTGTGACAGCTTGTTTGGACTGTGTATGAGTATGTAAAACGTACGTAAAGAGTACATTATGTATATACCCTGGGGTTTTACGTATTTTAATTTAAAATATGCATCACAATGAAGTAAATGCTTTAATGGAGATGCCTTAACTTAGGGATAACGACTTGTTTCAAATTCAGTCCAAGAATGTTTGAAGTGACGTCCATGTATCCAACCTTACTCCATGGGGAAAGGGTGTTTGATTCAATTCTTGACAAACTGGCAGTGTTTGTGCACTTGGACTAGTGCAAAATTTTGCAGTTTGGACAGACTATAACCCTATGTACAAGAGCCCGCCTGAAATGGAAGTGTGGTGTGAGCGACGGCAGTTATTAAACACTGCTGCTATTGCTTAGAGTGACTAGCAATGTACCTAATACCTATACATTCCGTTGGGCGTATCACTTCACCATTACCTAATTTGGTTATCTGACCAGTCATATGACTAGTCTGCTACAGTTTATGAGAATGACCAGCCATCACTCTGAGGCAATGGTCCATCCATTGGTGAACCCCTCAAAGGTGGAATGATTCTTATACAAATGGTCATGTGAAGTTAGTATCCAGAGACTATGTGTGCAAACCTAACTTATATCCATAAGTTACAATTAAAAGTGATGCATTGGATGAGGCGAAAGCATGAAATTCCCAAGACTGCTGCCTTTTCAAATAGTGAGATGAAGGTGGATAAGGCCAAACCATAGCTCTTGCGTTGAATTAAAAGATGGGAAGGAATTGGTGAGGTCAATTCTAGCAATTCACTTTGTTACACTGTCTTTCCTTCTCTGTATGCCTGGAATATGCCATGACGATACAGAAAGCTCTGTATCCCCACCTTGTGGTGGTAAAAGTAGACTAGCTTAATCATTTAATGTACATCAAAAGAATCTCGCTACAGCATAACGGTTAGGTTGACTTACCTGAAAATGGAGTCTCGCTCCTATGAAATATTTGAAGGATAGGTATCAGCCTAGCGATTTTTCATTTTTTTTATTTGACCTTAAACCAAAAATAAATGATAAATGCGTGCCTTCGAGTTGTCATGACATATTCGAAAGATGCAGAGAACGTTAGATGGCGTAACACCCAAAATTTGGGGAATTGGTTCGGTCTGGCCAGATATGTCATTGCCTGTCATCCCAATTTTAGTTAAATGCAATACTTGAGTATTACTATTTTCATCTGGTCTTTCATTTAGCGTGATGCATATGTATTTCCCCCGTTCTTAATTGCGTGTGATATGTATCTGTATTCGTTGACTTGATGCACTTTTTGTAATTATGTACAGGGAAATACGAGGAGGCATCCAGGCTGTACTTATCCAAAGGCAGGTCAAAGGATGCATTAGCAATAGCCAGAGAATCAGGCAATAAAGAAAACATCGCACAGTACCTGCTCCGTGACATCACAGGCGAGATATGCAAGCATCAAGTACTGGATAAGCCACAAACCTCTGATCGGATACAGGAACTTTTTGATCTGCTCAGTGTCATTACAACAAACCGCAAGTTGCAAGGACAGGCATATTTGCTAAAAGCAGAACTGAATGGAGGAAAAGCCAAGGAAGTTGAAACAGCTCTGAGTAAGGCTCTTGGTGCTTTTAAACAATGTGATCCACCTTGCAAGGCCGGACAAATAGACTGTCTAAACCTGATGCTTAAAAACTTGACACAAGGCAATATTTCCCCCGTTGTAGAAGAAATGCATACTTTATTTGACGTGATCAAGCTTTTTGAAAAAACAGCTTCAACCAAGGACGACTCACAGACAATTAAATTGATCTGTAGTCACTTTGGTTACGAATACTCAACTGATGGTTTATTGTTGACAAAAAGTTGTCAACACCATCTTGGTCCCGAAATAAAACGTAAGTGCAAATCAGAAAATGAAAGAGAGGTAAAAAAAGCCATCGGCAATGTTTTAAAAGAATTGGCTCATGAATGGTACACCAAAATACGGTCAAGTATGAAAGAATGGGTGGAAAATCTTCAAACATGCAGCAAGTCGCACTACAGTCATTTAAGATGCGGATGCTTGAAGAAGCTTTTGGAGACTGATCTGTTACACATTGAGCTTGACGGATACCTTGCAGGAACACTTGGAGGAATCAGCATTACAGCTAAAAAGTCAATCGAAACCTCATTAGAACCATGCATTACTTTCCTTCGTCATCTCCTCCCACAACAGTTCATAAAACGTTCTAGCAAAGAAGAATGGTACGCTTTAGCGGATGTTTTACGGAAGACTAAAAGAACTGTTAAAGAAAGATTGATGACGGCATTGAAGGTTGAATATGACTATATCACTCAAAAGAAAAGGAAACGAAGTACAAATCTATTCATGAAGCTTCATTTCCTGGTGAAATATCTAAAACTGGACATGAAACCACAAGAGATGATGAAAACGTTTGAACAGGATTTGAACGATGAGCTTTCAAGGAAAGAAAACAAACAAAAAGTTCTGGGCAAGATTCGACATCTTGGATTTTTGATACATCCCGAACCTATTAGATGTCTTGCCGTTAGATTTGTTGAAGCGTATGACAACATATCATACTACATGGATCCTATGGAGGCTTTAGTGAAATTCACGGCGTTCCTGAGGTTGCTGAGAGGCTACGACCAGGAAGTCCTACCGGACTGCAATTATTTGATTATGTGGATGGAGTATTTCTTGGTTGTTGCATCATATATGGCAGCAAAGGCCGATAATCAGATTAGCTTCCTCCTTCCAAACTCATATACCCATGTCACACATTACATTGATTCAAGCTTTGATTCAGAAAATAAGGCTACCATTAACGCTGTTGTGAGAACAGGGAAGAAGTTAAATCTCCATGTCATACAGAATAGGATAGAGGCCATTGCTTTGTTCTTATGTGAAGATGGCGACAAAAATAAACTGATGAATGCTGCATTTTCATCTGAAAATACAGATTTTGAGGTATCCGAGAGGCTGGGGATGTTATCATTGACTTGCATGTGCAATATAGAACGGATGGGTACAACATCATCTGAGCAACTACTACTCAGGCAGTTAAGCTCAATTCAATTGCACACAGATGCTCCTCCAAGATTGAAGGACGCCATAAAAACATTGAAAACAGCAAAAGGACTCCTGGATGTAGGCAATTTATTCAGAAGGCTCCTGTTCGAACGTGGCGAAGAACTTCATACGTATAGTTTTTATAAGGGAAATGTACTGTCAAAACCACTTACAATCCTAAACGACATTCTCCCTGATACTTTTCATGAAGACGCGGCTCGTAGTCAGCTCCAACCACAGGAAACAGACACCACAAAAGAAAGCACCAATATTTAACATGAGGAAGCGCCCTTCGTTCGGCACCAAGCAAATGAGACATACACATCAGAAGAACGCCGCGATACTAAACACGAGGAGGCGACTCTAACTCAGCTCCAACCAAAGGAGACAGACAGACTAGCTAAACGTTGTGGTCCTAAACATGAGGACGCAACTCTCGCTCTGCTCCAACCACAGGTTAAAAATAAGGTAGTTCACATAGATTGGACCTTTTAATTCCTTGAAATTGATAGATTTCCGGATAAATGATATAACCGGTGTCAGTTTCTGTTTTACACTACCAGAATATTCATTTACTGGGACACGAGCAGTCGTTAACAAAGGTATATAACGTCTGCTGTCACACCACCAGAGTTTTGTCATCTACAAACACGCGAGCCTGTCCATGAAAAGTTAACACAAAGTTCTTTTGAGGTCTAGACAACAATTACGGACTGAATGTAGTTTTATGAGAGATGGAACCATTTGTTTCCGATAAACATCATCCTGAACTGAACGCTCAATTCTGGCTTAACGACTTCAAGTAATTATGGGGAACACTTTCCAAGAATGACTTTGAGTTTTCCAGATTAACGAGATTTAATTGTATGTTGTTTATTTCACCCTATAATATATACAAAACAGCAAATTACATATTTACCCAGAATTGTCATTTCTTGTATTCACATACGCCCCTGTCAGAATGTCAAAGTTCTTGATAAAACCTAAAGTTGGATTTCTTCAGTCATTGGTTTGCCATGAGAAGTATGGCTATGCAACTCAATTCTGTACTAACAGTTTTAAATTTATTTCCGGAAAAAAATAGGTACCAAAAATCAAAAATATCAGTGTTGTCAAGAAGCTTCGCATTTAGCTATTGACAGAGGTGTTTGAGTTTTATGGGAGGTCGTTTAACTTTCAACAATACTTTCTAAGCTTTTTGTCTTTTTGCCCGACATGAGATGTCACAATGTCAACAAGAAGTTATATGACGTTATGTATTTACCTGCTATCTGACAATAGATGATGTAATAGAATATAACAATAATTTGTAAGTAATTGCATTAATAATAAATCTGTGTTGTTTATTATAATGTTGATTTTTGTTAACCCCACATTGATTTTTTATGATATGTACTCAAGAGTTAAAAGTTTCATGTACATTATATGTATGTTAATTTATGCTATATTTCTAATTCGGAAAATTTCCTCAAATTTCATAAATAACTACTTAGTCACCCTCTATGAGGGTGGGCGACATTTTTCATTCACAGTCCGTGTTGTGTCGTTTCTTGTTATAGTGAGTAGATGCATAAAAGGCAGCTAAGCCATTAACTTAATTTATGCATCGGAAACACTAAACAAGATCATTTTGAATATTTTCCAAATTTTTGTGGATTTTTCTTATGCATAACAGTAAGAGTTATGTCCCTTGTGTCATAGCCAGAAGTCCCCTAAGGATGAAGGGTCACGGGTCAGCTGAGGGTCATCTGATTGAATTGGTCAGTTAAGGTCAAGGGGACGCTGAGACCTCTCTATCAGTCAACCATCTTCGATTTAAGCTGTGTTACCTATCCGATCCTGTAAAGTTATAACATTTGTTCTGCAAAATACCCACCCTCTACCTCCCTTTCGTTTTGTCCTCTTCTGGACAATACTACTGGCTTAAGGTGTTATTCATGATTTGGCGGTTTTTTGTTAACCCAACATTGGTTTTTTATGGTATGTATTCAAGAGTTAAAAGTTTCATATACAATATATGTATGTAATTTTATGCTATATGGCGGTTTTTTTTTAACCCTTCATTGGTTTTTTATGATATGTACTCAAGAGTTAAAAGTTTCAAGTACATTATATGTATGTATTTTTATGCTTTATTTCTAATTCGGAAAATTTCCTCAAATTTCATAAATAAATATTTAGTCACCCTCTATGAGGGTGGCCTTTTTCATTCACAGTCCGGGTTGTGTCGTTTCTTGTTATAGTGAGTAGATGCATAAATACCTTTATCATTCTTTATGGAAACATGTTTGTATATACGTAAATGTTATTTTGTATTTTATTAAAATCTATATATTGTTTATAGATATGAGGGCCTGTTCGTTTATGCGGAAAACCCGGGTTGTCTGTTTTTGAATCAACCATTTTCGGGTATAGATTCTGGCGGTCATGCGAATGTTAATCCAGACCTTTTTTTATAATCTGTATACTGTACCTGTAAATAGAAACGTATATTATTATTTATGGAAACATGTTTGCATATACTTGTATGTTAATTTTTCTTTTTCCTTTTATTTGTATATTGTACCTGTATATCAAAACGTATATTCTTCTTTATGGAAACATGTATGTATATATTTGTGTGTTATTTTGTATTTTTTAAATAATATATTGTACCTGTATATAGAAACTTATATTATTCTTTATGGAAACATTTATGTATATATTTGTATGTTATTTTGTTTTTTATTGATATACTTATAATATTCTTCGTCATATAATGTACTGTGTTATCCATTGAATATTAACCCATCCAATATGCCACGAATGTTTCATTTTAGCTCGCAAGGGGCTAAATGGAAAACATCTTGGATTCGTTTCATAAATCTCATTTGAAATGGAAACTCATGTAAGATCCTATATGTATGTTATTCTGTATTTTATTTAAATATGTATGTTGTATTTAGCTACTAATATTTTTCTTTATGGGGACATGAATGTAAAAACTTACATGTATATTCTTGCAGATTGATGTATCCATTATTGGTGTGTGAATTTACTTGCAGATACATGTAAAAAAGATACAAATATTTAAATACTTGTTGACAGATGTATTTTATAATTTTTCTTGTAAGTGTAATATATAAAACTATATGTATGCATATAATTGTAGATGTATAAAGATGCATGTCTGGAATTACTTGTAGATATATGTATTGTATAAATATACAGGTATGCATACACTTGCAGATGAACAAACATTCATGTACGTATACGTACATCTATCCCTTCTTCAGTTTAGTAAACTCTGACTGCGTATAAATTAGCGTATACGCAATTAATAAAGGATGGATACCTGTTTCAAATATGGTACCGTTCACGCTTCAATGAGATGACTGTTCGATGACAGCCATTATTTGGGACCTTCAACCTTCAATATTCGGGATCCAAGCGACGGAATGAAGAACAATAGTGTTGCTCACTGCGTGTTTTCTAAATTTAGCTATATATATCGATGTAGATTCACTGGAACTATATTATCCTAGCAACCACGACTACCGCAGTTACCATTTGAACATTATCTATGGTGTAAATATAAGGACTGAACTTCATTTTGACGGCGTATACGGTAGTATGAACGCTGTTGGCAACGGACATATTCTTTATGGAGCGCTAACGCGCACAAAGAATATGTTCATTGCTAGATATATAAAGTAACGTAGACATATATACTTATAGATGTATAAAGATAAGTGTAATTATATGCATAAAAATGTATAAATATACAGGTACTTATATACCTGTATATATATAAAGATACATGTACGTATATATACAGTACTTGTAGATGGATAAAGATATACATGTACATAGATGTATAAAGATACACGACATACATGTATATACTTGTAGATGTATAAAGATACACGACATACATGTATATACTTGTAGATGTATAAAGATACACGATATACATGTATATACTTGTAGATGTATAAATATACACGACATACATGTATATACTTGTAGATGTATAAAGATACACGACATACATGTATATACTTATAGATGTATAAAGATACACGACATACATGTATATACTTGTAGATGTTAAAAGATACACGACATACATGTATATACTTGTAGATGTATAAAGATATACGACATACATGTATATACTTATAGATGTATAAAGATACACAACATACATTTATATACTTGTAGATGTATAAAGATACACGAGATACATGTATATACTTGTAGATGTCTAAAGATACACGACATACATGTATATACTTAAAGATGTATAAAGATACACGACATATATGTATATACTTATAGATGTATAAAGATATACGACATACATGTATATACTTGTGGATGTATAAAGAAACACGACATACACGTATATACTTATATATGTATAAAGATACACGACATACGTGTATATACTTATAGATGTATAAAGATACACGACATACATGTATATACTTATAGATGTATAAAGATACACGATATACACGTATATACTTGTATACTTGTAGATGTATAAAGATACACGACATACATGTATATACTTGTGGATGTATAAAGAAACACGACATACACGTATATACTTTTAGATGTATAAAGATACACGACATACATGTATATACTTGTGGATGTATAAAGAAACACGACATACACGTATATACTTTTAGATGTATAAAGATACACGACATACATTTATATACTTGTAGATGTATAAAGATACCCGACATACACGTATATACTAGTAGATGTATAAAGATACACGACATACATTTATATACTTATAGATGTATAAAGATACACAACATACATTTATATACTTGTAGATGTATAAAGATACCCGACATACACGTATATACTTGTAGATGTATAAAGATACACGACATACGTGTATATACTTATAGATGTATAAAGATACACAACATACATTTATATACTTGTAGATGTATAAAGATATACGACATACATTTTTATACTTGTAGATGTATAAAGATACACGACATACACGTATATACTTGTAGATGTATAAAGATACACGACATACATGTATATACTTGTAGATGTATAAAGATACACGACATACATGTATATACTTGTAGATGTATAAAGACGAAATATATACTTATAGACTTAGAAAATGGAAATGGAGTCGATTATACTAGTCTTCGTGTTTTGTTTTATTTATATTTTTACTGTCACATGGACATTTAAAACTATTTATCGCTACTTATAGATGTATAAAGTTACACGAAATATATACTTGTAAATGTATTAAGATACATAAAGATACGTGTATGTATGTATGTACTTATACATGTCTACATATACTTGAAGATACATGATTTCTATCAAGAAACATATATGTGCAGGATTGTTGGTAAAAGTATTTTTATTATTGGTGGCATAAACTATTAGTTATATTTTATAAATAGGAAAATTCCATATTCTATTGAAAATACACATTCTAAATAATACATATGTTTAGATTATCAATTTTATGACACTTTTCTTATATCAGTGAAAAGTGAAAAAGTTATAACTTATATAAATAGATATATTCCATTAAATATTGTGAATACTTTTTTCCGGATTATATCTAATTAGGAGGCACGGTAGTCTAGTGGTAGGACGCCGGGCTCGTGACCGAAGGGTTGCGAATTCAAGTCACGGCACGACACTGTGTTGTATCTTTGATCAAGATACTTTACTCCGCTTGTTCCAGTCTACTCAGCTGTAAACGAGTACGTGGTTTGGCAGTGTTAAAATAGTTGAATGCTAGCTGTGAGCGCCGAAATGGCACCACTGGCTGCATTTTCCACAGGGAGTTGGAAAAAAACGGATAATAATTTGTGAACCGCTTTGAGACGACCTACGAATTGAACTAGGTTGTGATAAAGCGGTATATAAGAACTTCGAAATATTATTATTATTTTTTTTTACAGCTTTCTTATACATTGAAGATACAAGTTATGTACCTGTATTTGTAATGTATAGAAGCGATAAGTGTGTTCCGGAATTAAAAGCGTATCAATACTAACTTATGTACAATTTTTCGTTTCTACCGAATTTTGTGAGGTTCACCATGTGTTTCCTTCGATCATGTTGTCTTGTATTTTAGTCCTCTTTAGATTTTGATTGTTTTTCTTACACTTGGATATGTTTTTTTTTTATTGCACTACAACCACTTTTTCATTACCAGTCAGCAGAATTATTTCGGAAATCATCAAATTTCAGTTTCCTGTTTAATGACGTTCAAAAAGTTTATTTCGATATATATCCTGATTGTTATGTCACGTGGTTTTTGAGTGATATGGCACGATCACTTAAGTATTTTTGAGTATATCGCCATAGCGACGTTACAAGAAAAGTCAATGGCGTAACATGTAAACGGAAAATACAGTTCTGTTATGTTTTCCATTAATGTCTCTGGTCAAAATATTAAAAAATGTATAATTGATTATTCTTAACGTATAGCATGTTCAAAAACAATCTTAATTTCGCATCATAATTTTCTGACGTAATGGGAATACCGTCTCATGAGCACTTTTTTAGATCCTGTTTGTATATTATACAGTAAATAGGGTATACAATTGGTTGCTTGTTGAATACCATGTATACTCTACGAGAGAGTTAATGTACCTTCACACGAAATGCATGGAAATAAAGTAATCCTCCCACGGGGACCATGCATAAAGATAAAATGCGATGATCTACCGAATTTATTTCCCCCAACTTCTGATCCACGAGGGAGCCATTCTCTATCCACTAACTGTTACATATACAAGAGTATTTTTCTCCCACTATTTTCACTATTGGAAATTAGAATAGTACACCTCCTTATGCTGACTAAACGTGTTAACAACTTAATTTAATTTAATGTATGTTTTTTTTTTTTTTTTTTATAACATGATGTCAGACACTCAGGGTTGATACGGAACTTATCCCTCAGCTGCATTTGTGTATGGCGGCATGTATTCAATTTCTATTACAGTAAATAATATAATCAAAATACAAAATATATATATTAAATAAAATATTAAATTATAGGATATACTTTATCTTCCTGTATATTACATAATTTCTATTTCTATCAATTACCGGATATTATTTGAATAAAATGTATTGTATTATAGACAGAACTGAATACAGGCTTTAAGCCTGATGTTCAATCCAATTGATCATGGTTATCAATACCATTCATTAAAATTGAAATTGAAATTATAACATGACAGAGAATTGGTAGTACATGCGCAGAATGTATCTGGGTTGTTGAACCACGGAATTAGATTAGAGTCCGTGGTTGAACATATATTACATAATTTCTATTTCTATCAATTACCGGATATTATTTGAATAAAATGTATTGTATTATAGACAGAACTGAATACAGGCTTTAAGCCTGATGTTCAATTCAATTGATCATGGTTATCAATACCATTCATTAAAATTGAAATTGAAATTATAACATGACAGAATTGGTAGTACATGCGCAGAATGTATCTGGGTTGTTGAAGCACGGAATTAGATTAGAGTCCGTGGTTGAACATGTAACAGAGATGATAGGGGCGTAGAGTCTGCATCCATTGATGTGTTTGATAAAGAAACGAGCATCATAATAACTACAATAAATAAAATCGTTTGTATCACTGCGAACTAGTGTGAACAGTAAAGGGAGATAATACCATATATCCGGGGAGGTTGCGTCCCTTACATCGTTGATCGAACTAATAACCAAAGAAGTAAAAACGACATTGCAGACAAAGGATTATGTCAAATTGTAAATAAACGTAGCTGATAAATCTATAAATCACTACGTTTTTTGACACTTGTTATCTATCTTGAATACACATTATCACGATTTTTCAAATTGCGTTCTACACCGTTAACAGTGTACAGGCGAATGGTTAATAATAACTGGTTTACTGTTAAGTAATTTGTGATGTTGAAGTCCTCGTGATGACTGTTTATCTCTGTATGTTACGTTGTGATATGTAATTGTTCATTTTTTGTCTTGATAAATGGTGGAATGCCTCGAAAATTAGACATTTTATTTCTGGTACTATCGCCTGTGTGGGTTTGTCACGTTCATCTTTGTCTGCCTTGTCGTTATAACTTCTTTGTTTATAAGTAATTCGCAACCAACGAACATTTGTTTGTTCGGATTCAGTGCCCACATTGGACCTTACTGCCGTTATTACTTATGCTACATCTTTATATATATTAGTTAATTTATATATTTGAATGCAGTCTTAAAGAATATCTGTATAGGCCTTGATTGGATCCGGGTCATTTTGATTCTCTTTAACAGAATTTTGTTGAAATTATATGAAATTATATGAAATTATATAAAATGAAAAAAATATGCATTATTTACTTATAGTTTTTTTCTTTTGGTGCTTTCCTGACTGTCCAGTCTATAGACTGTTGGGAAGTACCGAATTGACCTGTTCATTTTGCTTGTGTTTACATTCCAATTTCGATTTGCAAACACGTGAAAAAAAGAAACTTTGCTACAGACTCGTGCATGACCCCTCTTCCACATTTAACACAAACGCTACGTAACGGGGAGTTAACTTAGTGTATCTCCTTACTTGTGTATGAAATTTAGTCCTGGTGTATAATTCATCAAACCATTTTTTTAATATCAATTTTCTGGACATATTAATAAACGTAAACAATTAGGATTTTAAAGGCGAATTCACGTACGCAAAAAAAATATAAATTTTGATTCGCCTACAGAAAAAATGATAATATCTAGTCGACTGTCATCATCCTATCATTTCCCCGCAACCCACATACTTCATGAAGTTGAAGTTAAGTCCCGTATTTTACTTTGACCAGCCTACGTCATTAACAGGCTGACATATCACGACAAATGCGCCACACTGGTAATAGGTCATGATCTATAGAATAATCAATCCTCTGCTTATCGAATGAGAGGCTGATCAATATAGCGGCCCAAATCGCGCTATTATGTATATTTTCCTTCAGGTTCATCATCTACTTCTAATATTTGCCATTGCCTCGATCAAGTATTTATTATACTTAATGTAAACGTCGAATTTCTCTGTAGTTGGTTTATAACGAACGTCATCAACATTTTGTTTCGCAAAAAAATATATAACGTAAAATATTCAACCGAAAGATTTACAAACGGTCTTTTAGTGGGAAACTGTATGCACAAAAGCTGCACATTCTACCCTTAAAATAGAACAGAAAACGTCTTTCAGATTGCTGGTCGTCTTTATAATTGAAACCGTTAGGTAGTTGTCAGAATCTGTCGGTCATCCACAAAAATAATACAGTCAGCATATCAGTACTTTTTTACTTAGGAATGACCTTCAGTTGCTATTGAAAGGGAAAATACTGCGTATTTGTCTTTTTTTTCAAACCAGAATACAATCGTGGATCAGATTAACTACCACGACCTTAAAGTGATCGAGTGATGGTTGATGCTTACGATGAAGTCGAAGCAATGATCAGTTGATGTAAAATGTTTACCGTGAAGATTCAATCATGTCAATATATATATAAAAAAAACATACGTATGCCAAGACATCATTTGGTGGTAGAGACTTACCACGACATTTGAGGGTAGGAAGTTACTATGTAAATGAAAACATTTAATGAACTATACCTTTTAATGACGTTGAGGTGAATATTTGATGGTAGAAATGTTAGCGCAATTATTTCTATGTGCAATTTCACAAGGAAAACATTATTAGGGCTTTTGGGTATATTTAAAACATACCAAGTTTTTTCTCCAATATAGTTTTAATCAATTGCCATTTTCATTTACACATTGTTTATACAGGATTGTTTAAAAAAAAATCTCACAAAATCACGGCGTCCCATTTGAAAACGAGTTTGTCTTAAATGACGTCATTCAAATGTAAAGTCATAGCATAACATCAACCCTTATCCCTAGGAATAGCAGAAATGCAGTAAGCAATAATATGCCTTTTCTGGGAATTATAGTTTTAACAGAGTAATATTACACCATAAAGTGTTATAATTTTACAGAGGTGAAAGTTCTGCTAAATTATTCCTGGAGCAAGTTCGCTGATACCAAAAATCAGTTTAACCAGATTTTTCACAGATGTAATACATTTTGATGCCTGAACATACACAGTCAACCATGTTAAACTCCGAATCCCGACTGACACACCCACAATCATTTCTGGTCGTCTCATCCGGTTTGTTCCAGGACCGCAGTGAAAGATTAACTGGTTCCTCATTGGTCAGAAACACCCACATGTTGGAGTTTGACAGTTTCCTCCGGCCTACATACGCGTAGTGATACACGCCTAGATAAAACAAAAATAAGAGTAGCGCGGAGCGGATCAATATACGCCCGGTCGAATGCCATATAGTGTAATATACTTCATTACATTGAAATAAGATCTGCCTCATTCTAAGAGTACTTAGCTGACATGCTATAAAAAAATTAGGAGAAAATCTCCGGACAGAATATCAAATACTGAAACGAACAAAATAAAGGGCAATAACTTTTGGAAAAATCGTCAAATCAATTTGTTAAGGGGGACAAAACTTCATATCATGATTATAATGTATACCGTGTTTCAAAGAGATTGGTCGAAAAATGTAGGAGGAGATAGCCGGACAAACAAAAGTTTAGGCCAGCTGGACAGACGGACATCGCCATACCATAATACTCCCGTCAAATTTGACGGGCGTAAATAAACAATGATGAAGAGAGAGAAAGAGATGATCGTATATATATCTAGAACAAAGGAATAACTGCATCCGGCAGGGTTGATATTATTATTTTATTTACTGAGAGGGGAGATAACTGCATCCGGCAGAGTTGATCATTATTTGTTTACTTACTGAGAGGGGGGATAACTGCATCCGGCAGAGTTGATCATTATTTTTTTACTTACTGAGAGGGGGGATTACTGCATCCGGCAGAGTTGATATTATTAGTTTACTTACTGAGAGAGGGGATAACTGCATCCGGCAGAGTTGATATTATTAGTTTACTTACTGAGAGGGGAGATAACTGCATCCGGCGGAGTTGATCATTATTTGTTTACTTACTGAGAGGGGGGATAACTGCCTCCGGCAGAGTTGATCATTATTTGTTTACTTACTGATCATGAGAGGGGGGATTACTGCATCCGGCAGAGTTGATCATTATTTGTTTACTTACTAAGAGGGGGGATAACTGCATCCGACAGAGTTGATCATTATTTGTTTACTTACTGAGAGGGGGGATAACTGCATCCTTCAGTACTGCTGCTTCAGCATCTGTCTTTATTTCTACCAGTTTTCCTCCTTTTTTAAAGCAAGCGGCCTTTAACATTAAAAAAAAAATGAATCACCAATTTTTGTCAGTGAAATTGAGTCGGCTATGAACCAAAGTTATCTTGTTTATTAAGAGGAGAATGTTCCAATAATATTCCACGTGTATGTGATGATGGAAATAAAATCAACGGTGTTATTAACAATGTCCTCAATTTTGTAACAAACAAAAAATGAAAAAATCGTCAAAATATTATGAGGATATTCATCCGTACACATTTTTTGCGACCAGAAATAAATTTAGACTTCCACATACAAACGCAAACAGATGTTTTACAAACAAAGTCAATCTTTTGAAAGTTGATGGAACTACCTCACACACGTCTTTATATAAAACTACTGTGAAATCGCGAGGTAGACGTTTTTCGCGTTTGCAACGGTTTTGAAATCTATATAATTTGTAAAGATATATTAGCGAGTTGACTTTTAGGCGATTAATTTTTCAACATGAAAAACCCCAAGAATTTTCAATGAAAATTTCAACTTTTAAAGTAGTATTTAACAAACTGTTGTTTGTACGAATTTAAGATACTTGTAACTGTAAAGTCTTGTTCTATTAAATAGATCCAATATAGAAAAGGTTAACCGGAAACAAAACCCTTATTTGGTAAACCGTATAATTCTAATACATATAGATGGTTTGTCAATATTTCCTCTCAAACAAGTTGTTATAGGGATAAAAGCAGGATTTAATAAAAAGAATGTAATGTGTAGGCAGCTTACATTAAAATGTTCACAGAAAAACAACAATTGTCAGCTGGCTCATCCAGACACTTGTCATGGAGTTAAGATCCATACCTATGACATCAAAATCTCGATTTAAATTCTTATAAAATTTAGTTTTTCTTGAAAATACCTTGATAAAATACGTGTGCGTCGCCTGTTGACTGTTAGCGACATGTATAAAATATTCTTTGTATAATTTAGAAGATTGCTTTTTGTTTGGTTTTGTAATCATCTTTATGCATCAAAAGTACAGATTTAAGATTTTGGCTCTAAAACGCTGACGTCGCAAGTGAGAAAGCTTAAACGACGCAAAGAAACATATTTTTGTTTCAGAGAGAGGTCGCCCTGAGAGATCATATTTGAGATCATATACCCTGACAATCAGGCCAGACCAAGGCCTCTGTCAACGGAAGTATAACCATGTATAACCCCCTGGTAGTTCTGAAGTGCAACTTGTGACGTCAGCTGTGGTTGATATCAATATTTTGCCACATATCGTTAAAGTTGTATGTGTTTACTATGCTGACAGTACATATGTATGACACATTATACCTTTGCAGTGTTCCAGTTAGCTTTCTCGTTTCTCTTTGCGACGTAATAACATTTTGGGAAACCTTCGATCGTTATCCAGCCAGGAGGACAGCTAACTGCCACGCCGTCTGAAATTTGAATGAAAAATCAGACAGTGTCACATGAAGTCATACGATAGAAACTACATCAGAGCAATATCGCACTCTACACAGGAGAAACAACAAGTATATCATATATAGATACATTACAGGACGTAGAGCTACACAGGAGAAACCACAAGTATATCATATATAGATACATTACAGGACGTAGAGCTACACAGGAGAAACCACAAGTATATCATATATAGATACATTACAGGACGTAGAGCTACACAGGAGAAACCACAAGTATATCATATATAGATACATTACAGGACGTAGAGCTACACAGGAGAAACCACAAGTATATCATATATAGATACATTACAGGACGTAGAGCTACACAGGAGAAACCACAAGTATATCATATATAGATACATTACAGGACGTAGAGCTACACAGGAGAAACCACAAGTATATCATATATAGATACATTACAGGACGTAGAGCTACACAGGAGAAACCACAAGTATATCATATATAGATACATTACAGGACGTAGAGCTACACAGGAGAAACCACAAGTATATCATATATAGATACATTACAGGACGTAGAGCTACACAGGAGAAACCACAAGTATATCATATATAGATACATTACAGGACGTAGAGCTACACAGGAGAAACCACAAGTATATCATATATAGATACATTACAGGACGTAGAGCTACACAGGAGAAACCACAAGTATATCATATATAGATACATTACAGGACGTAGAGCTACACAGGAGAAACCACAAGTATATCATATATAGATACATTACAGGACGTAGAGCTACACAGGAGAAACCACAAGTATATCATATATAGATACATTACAGGACGTAGAGCTACACAGGAGAAACCACAAGTATATCATATATAGATACATTACAGGACGTAGAGCTACACAGGAGAAACCACAAGTATATCATATATAGATACATTACAGGACGTAGAGCTACACAGGAGAAACCACAAGTATATCATATATAGATACATTACAGGACGTAGAGCTACACAGGAGAAACCACAAGTATATCATATATAGATACATTACAGGACGTAGAGCTACACAGGAGAAACCACAAGTATATCATATATAGATACATTACAGGACGTAGAGCTACACAGGAGAAACCACAAGTATATCATATATAGATACATTACAGGACGTAGAGCTACACAGGAGAAACCACAAGTATATCATATATAGATACATTACAGGACGTAGAGCTACACAGGAGAAACCACAAGTATATCATATATAGATACATTACAGGACGTAGAGCTACACAGGAGAAACCACAAGTATATCATATATAGATACATTACAGGACGTAGAGCTACACAGGAGAAACCACAAGTATATCATATATAGATACATTACAGGACGTAGAGCTACACAGGAGAAACCACAAGTATATCATATATAGATACATTACAGGACGTAGAGCTACACAGGAGAAACCACAAGTATATCATATATAGATACATTACAGGACGTAGAGCTACACAGGAGAAACCACAAGTATATCATATATAGATACATTACAGGACGTAGAGCTACACAGGAGAAACCACAAGTATATCATATATAGATACATTACAGGACGTAGAGCTACACAGGAGAAACCACAAGTATATCATATATAGATACATTACAGGACGTAGAGCTACACAGGAGAAACCACAAGTATATCATATATAGATACATTACAGGACGTAGAGCTACACAGGAGAAACCACAAGTATATCATATATAGATACATTACAGGACGTAGAGCTACACAGGAGAAACCACAAGTATATCATATATAGATACATTACAGGACGTAGAGCTACACAGGAGAAACCACAAGTATATCATATATAGATACATTACAGGACGTAGAGCTACACAGGAGAAACCACAAGTATATCATATATAGATACATTACAGGACGTAGAGCTACACAGGAGAAACCACAAGTATATCATATATAGATACATTACAGGACGTAGAGCTACACAGGAGAAACCACAAGTATATCATATATAGATACATTACAGGACGTAGAGCTACACAGGAGAAACCACAAGTATATCATATATAGATACATTACAGGACGTAGAGCTACACAGGAGAAACCACAAGTATATCATATATAGATACATTACAGGACGTAGAGCTACACAGGAGAAACCACAAGTATATCATATATAGATACATTACAGGACGTAGAGCTACACAGGAGAAACCACAAGTATATCATATATAGATACATTACAGGACGTAGAGCTACACAGGAGAAACCACAAGTATATCATATATAGATACATTACAGGACGTAGAGCTACACAGGAGAAACCACAAGTATATCATATATAGATACATTACAGGACGTAGAGCTACACAGGAGAAACCACAAGTATATCATATATAGATACATTACAGGACGTAGAGCTACACAGGAGAAACCACAAGTATATCATATATAGATACATTACAGGACGTAGAGCTACACAGGAGAAACCACAAGTATATCATATATAGATACATTACAGGACGTAGAGCTACACAGGAGAAACCACAAGTATATCATATATAGATACATTACAGGACGTAGAGCTACACAGGAGAAACCACAAGTATATCATATATAGATACATTACAGGACGTAGAGCTACACAGGAGAAACCACAAGTATATCATATATAGATACATTACAGGACGTAGAGCTACACAGGAGAAACCACAAGTATATCATATATAGATACATTACAGGACGTAGAGCTACACAGGAGAAACCACAAGTATATCATATATAGATACATTACAGGACGTAGAGCTACACAGGAGAAACCACAAGTATATCATATATAGATACATTACAGGACGTAGAGCTACACAGGAGAAACCACAAGTATATCATATATAGATACATTACAGGACGTAGAGCTACACAGGAGAAACCACAAGTATATCATATATAGATACATTACAGGACGTAGAGCTACACAGGAGAAACCACAAGTATATCATATATAGATACATTACAGGACGTAGAGCTACACAGGAGAAACCACAAGTATATCATATATAGATACATTACAGGACGTAGAGCTACACAGGAGAAACCACAAGTATATCATATATAGATACATTACAGGACGTAGAGCTACACAGGAGAAACCACAAGTATATCATATATAGATACATTACAGGACGTAGAGCTACACAGGAGAAACCACAAGTATATCATATATAGATACATTACAGGACGTAGAGCTACACAGGAGAAACCACAAGTATATCATATATAGATACATTACAGGACGTAGAGCTACACAGGAGAAACCACAAGTATATCATATATAGATACATTACAGGACGTAGAGCTACACAGGAGAAACCACAAGTATATCATATATAGATACATTACAGGACGTAGAGCTACACAGGAGAAACCACAAGTATATCATATATAGATACATTACAGGACGTAGAGCTACACAGGAGAAACCACAAGTATATCATATATAGATACATTACAGGACGTAGAGCTACACAGGAGAAACCACAAGTATATCATATATAGATACATTACAGGACGTAGAGCTACACAGGAGAAACCACAAGTATATCATATATAGATACATTACAGGACGTAGAGCTACACAGGAGAAACCACAAGTATATCATATATAGATACATTACAGGACGTAGAGCTACACAGGAGAAACCACAAGTATATCATATATAGATACATTACAGGACGTAGAGCTACACCTGACGCCACACAGGAGAAACACAATTTCATCATCTATAAATATATTACAGGACGTAGAGCGACACCTGACGTCACACGGGAGAAACACAATTTCATCATCTATAAATATATTACAGGACGTAGAGCGACACCTGACGTCACACAGGAGAAACCACAGTTATATTCTATACATACATTACAGGACGTAGAGCGACACCTTACGATACACAGGAGAACCACAGTTATCTTCTATAAATACATTACAGGACGTAGAGCGACACCCGACGTCACACAGAAGAAACCACAACTATATCATCTATAGATACGTAGAGCGACACCTGTCGTCACACAGGAGAAACAACAACTACATTGTATATCATCTATAGATACGTAGAGCGACACCAGACGTCACACTGGAAAAACAAAAAGTTCAACGTAGAGCGACACCTGACGTCACACAGGACAAACAACAACTTTATCATCTATAGAATCGTAGAGCGACACCTGACGTCACACAGGAGAAACCACAAGTACATCCTATATATATATATATATATAAATATTACAGGACGTAGAGCGACACCTGACGTCACAACGGAGAAACCACAATTATCTTCTATAAATACATTGCATGACGTGAAACGACACCTTACGATACACAGGAGAAACCACATAGTTATCTTCTATAAATACATTACAGGACGTAGAACGACACCTGAGGTCACACAGGAAACACTTAACATCATCTATAAATATATTACAGGACATAGAGCGACACCTGACCTCACACAGGAGAAACCATAATAAATACATTTCAAGACGTAGAGCGGCACCCGACGTCACACCTGACGGCACACAGGGCATAGTTCAAGAGATCATATATATAACTCCACCTGCAATAAGACAAGAAGACAATCAATGATAAATGTTTTATAAATACAATGACAGACATATAGCGCCACCTACCATCACATAAGATGATAACAAAATGGTGTATCATATATAGATGCTATGTAAAATGCAGCGACACCTGGCGCCACACAGGATGATAATATATATATTTAAAGTTCCTAGGGTTTTCCTTTTCAAGAAGTACGGTAGTCTAATGGTAGAACGCGGGCTCGTGACCGAAGGGTTGCGGGTTCGAGTCACGGCACGGCACTGTGTTGTTTCATTGAGCAAGATACTTTACTCTGCTTGTTCCAGTCTTCTCAGCTGTAAATGAGCATGAAATTGGGCAGTGCTAGAATTGTAGAATGCTAGCTGTAAGCGCCGAAATGGCAGTACCGGCTGTATGCTCTGCAGGGTGTTGAGAAAGATATGGCTGGTTGCAAACGTCCTATAACCACGGATATTTATTTGTGAACCACTTTGAGACGACATTCGGACTAGGTGTGATAAAGCGGTATATAAGAACCTCGAATTATTATTATTAATATTAACAAACAAAAAATTGTCCATTATGTTGGAATCTAAAGGAAATTCGTCAAGTAAACGTAAGTGTAGTCATGAAAAATCAGCATTGAAGTTGTCAAACCGAATACAATGACATTTTTGAGGATTTTTGGGACTGAATAGGAACCATTGTGTAAGCACCATGTTTGAACCGCAATGCTCAATCTCTCTGTATTACGAGTACAATAGACTTAGAGAATATCTCACCTGTATAATCATCCTCATCTTGGACCGCATCCCCTTGCATAGCTGACCCCGAATCTTCCTCCTCCGGCACGGGTGTCGTCGGCGTCGGCTGTGGGGTAGTTCTGATAGCACGGTCCATTAGTTCGTCCTTCTTCACCCGTAGTTGGCGGAGTTCATTCGTAAACATTTCCAGTGTCTTATTTAATTCTTCCAGTCCTGTGTCCATTATGGTTTTAATCTCCAGCACACTTTCTGGTAGAGTGACATTCCAACAAGCTTCCCTATCCCCATCACATTCGGGAGATCTTAAGGACGATTCTATGACGTCACATGTCTCATCTATTACGGAGATTTTTCTGCCCATGTCATTAAACCAGATATTTAGTATCGACACAACACTCCCATGAAGACTAGAACTGACCGTGTGTGGACACAGAATGATGTATGCCACACACAAATTAACCACTACTATTTTGTACATTTCCATGCTGTCTATAACAGCTTGACCAGCCTCCGTCTAATCCCAACCGTACACTGATGACCTTAGAACATATTCTAGCACGGCATGGGAATATAATCATCAGTTGTAATTTTAACACGTACAAGTGTCAACGTCTTACCCCGTGACTTTGTGTTTAGCAACTTAATGGTCATGTTTGTACGGTCAGCATATCAAAATCGTTTACTTGAGATATGTTACATGTCAAAATAAGAAATAAATCTCTGCTCTCATATGGCTTGATTTTTACGTTTTTCTGTTTTGATCATGAGCAGATGTAGAAAACGCCAGCTAAAGTAATATGACCCCTATTCCAAACAATAACTCAAAATAGCGCAGTTTTAGCGTAGACTTTCTTTTAAATTTCGTGATTGCTTATATAAATAATATACGCACGGATTTAAATTATCAAAGTAACACCAAAAGCTATATTTAATTGTGCAATGACTTGATAATCAATAAGGGAAATAAGGCACAGTGTAGGCTTAACCACAATCTTGAACAAGAGAAGCCGTTTGGGTATTGCTAATCAACTCATAGGGTCTCTGGGTAATTACAATTTATACCTTTTGCATAGTTTTGATATAAAGTATGGGGGATGGTATGTGTATACATGGTGTATGGTAAATGATATATGTATACATGGTGTATGGTATGTGTTTCCATGGTGTATGGTAAATGGTATGTGTATATATGGTCTATGGTAAATGGTATGTGTATACATGGGGTATGGTAAATGGTATGTGTATACATGGAGTATGGTATGTGTATACATGGAGTATGGTAAATGGTATATGTATACATGGTGTATGGTAAATGGTATGTGGATACGTGGCGTATGGTAAATGGCATGTGTATACATGGTGTATGGTATGTGTCTACATGGTGTATGGTAAATGGTATGTGTACACATGGTGTATGGTAAATGATATATGTATACATGGTGTATGGTATGTGTATACATGTTGTATGGTATGTTTATACATGGTGTATGGTAAATGGTATGTTTATACATGGTGTATGGTAAATGGTATGGGTATACATGGTTTATGGTATGTGTTTACATGGTGTATGGTAAATGGTAGGTGTATACATGGTGTATGGTATTTGTATACATGGTGTATGGTATGTGTATCCATGGTGTATGGTAAATGGTATGTGTACACATGGTGTATGGTAAATGATATATGTATACATGGTGTATGGTATGTGTATACATGTTGTATGGTATGTTTATACATGGTGTATGGTATGTTTATACATGGTGTATGGTATGTTTATACATGGTGTATGGTATGTTTATACATGGTGTATGGTAAATGGTATGGGTATACATGGTTTATGGTATGTGTTTACATGGTGTATGGTGTGTGTTTACATGGTGTATGGTAAATGGAATGTGTATACATGGTGTATGGTAAATGTTATGTGTATACATGGTGTATGGTATGTTTATACATGGTGTATGGTAAATGGTATGGGTATACATGGTTTATGGTATGTGTTTACATGGTGTATGGTTAATGGTATGTGTATACATGGTGTATGGTAAATGGCATGTGTATATATGGTGTATGGTAAATGGTATGTGTATATATGGTCTATGGTAAATGGTATGTGTATACATGGGGTATGGTAAATGGTATGTGTATACATGGAGTATGGTATGTTTATACATGGTGTATGGTAAATGGTATGTGGATACGTGGCGTATGGTAAATGGCATGTGTATACATGGTGTATGGTAAATGGAATGTGTATACATGGTGTATGGTAAATGGAATGTGTATACATGGTGTATGGTATGTTTATACATGGTGTATGGTAAATGGTATGGGTATACATGGTTTATGGTATGTGTTTACATGGTGTATGGTATGTGTTTACATGGTGTATAGTAAATGGTATGTGTATACATGGTGTAGGGTATGTGTTTACATGGGGTATGGTAAATGGTATGTGTATACATGGGGTATGGTAAATGGTATGTGTATACATGGTGGATGGTATGTGTTTACATGGTGTATGGTGTGTGTTTACATGGTGTATGGTAAATGGAATGTGTATACATGGTGTATGGTATGTTTATACATGGTGTATGGTATGTTTATACATGGTGTATGGTAAATGGTATGGGTATACATGGTTTATGGTATGTGTTTACATGGTGTATGGTATGTGTTTACATGGTGTATGTTAAATGGTATGTGAATACATGGTGTATGGTATGTGTATATACATGGTGTATGGTAAATGGAATGTTTTGTTTTTGATAACATCACTGAACTTGAATTGATTGGTGAAACATATATTTTTTGTGTCATTTTCTTCGTATATTGTAAATGAAATGTCCAAAAGATATCTAAAATGCTTACATTGCTTTATAACACTGACCTATCACAGCAGACCTAATATTATGAGTGAAAATGCTAAAATTATTTTTTTTTCTCTTCACGACTAAAACGGGTTTAAACGCTGCGTCTAGCAACGTTATCACTGTTGACGTCATGACCTAATTAGACCCTATTGGTCAATGGCTCAACATTCTCAAATTCGATGGCCTGTTGGACGTTGACAAATAATGTGTGACAATAAAGGTTATCTACAATAATAGGACACACATGCTCAACAAACTTCCGTCATACATTCCATACCATTCCAACTGTAACGAACGTTACCTAGTCACTCGGGTTCGACTGCGCTTCCGCTTGCAGATTCCATGAATGTTATTTGAATAATGAGATGATAAAGATGAAGCAGGGATTGGTGACAAAAACAAATTAGGCAGATATAGATTGAGCCGTTTATTGTACGTCTACAGTATCAAACTTAACAAAGCACGAGGCGTTAAGTGGGTTTCCGAATTTACACCAAAATTCGGTAAAATAAAGAGTAAAATTGCCCTTACACATATACACTATCAAACTTCATAAATTCATGTGTTTTGCACTAAAATAAACTAAAATACACTACACTCAGCCATTCGCATTAGTAACAGTATTTTATACTTTTATTACATACTGACTAATAAATACGGGTTATTTGTATATGCGATACGACACAATTGCTCTAACCCATATCAGCCATCGCCGTATCACACCCCAAAATCCATATTAGCCCGCAAAACCCGTATCACACCCCATTTGGAAAATTTTCGTTTTTCAATATATAAAAAGAAAAATAGATCATAAGCTTTTTTTAGTAAGTATGTAATAAACAGAATAAAACGTGCCTTTTTCCGTATCACACCCAGAATCAATCCTCGACCAATATCAGCCCTCGGGCTGATACTGCAGTCTCGGGTTGATCCTGGTTGGATATGGAAAAAAGCATGTATTATTATCTATATAACCAGGGACAGTATATAGAGTATACGTCCCTGATATAACACATACATAATACATATTAAAAATTACGGTGATTTGCACTTATATCATATGTACGCCATATTCAGTATCGGCAAAAGTGAGTAGAAAGCGCGGTACACTATTTTGCAAAGTGTTAATTTACAGCAACAACAGTGACTTAAATCTGATAAATACTTGATAAAGATGTTCAAAGAAACCTCACGAAGCAACGACCCAAAGCTCAATATTCAAAATACATCACTTACATTGAAAACTCACAAAATTACCCCACGGTAGGACGACGACCAGTCTATCTCATCTATGACGTCACTATACATGTTCCCTATATCTGATTAATTAATTTCAGTGATTTGCGCTAATAAGACACGAAGAACAATTAAGAATTAGCCATCGTTGTTTCATCTTTTCGCCCGAAAAAACAAGAATTAAAATTCACGAAGTTTCATTCTATTCGACGTAAAAAGACCAAACAACGAAATGCCTCAAATTAACCACCATGAATTATACTTTAAAACTGATTTACAATAACCATACAATGTATTGCATACATTTAACAATGATTTCATTGAAGTGAAAGTTTTTCGTATTACAAAAAACAAGAATAAACGAATTCTGCTATATCCGTGGCCTGGAAAAAGTGCTAAATTCATATTTTGAAATCAAATCTTATATGGCATGTTTATTTTCGTAATATTAAACCCGGAACTAAATTTGTTTCCGCCGATTTTTTTTTAATAATACAAACCATAAGGGGCGTGTTATCTTGATATCCCAATAAACTTCACGGCAAGGGCCGTGCGACTAAACCCGTGTAAACAGTGCAGGGAGGCCACATACGGGTCAAAGGTAAACACGGTTTCTTTTAGGTTGTGGTATTTTCAGAACTATTCTTATACTTTTGTAAAAAAATGATGTATATGGCCCTTTGCGTGCGAAATGGAGGCACGGTAGTCTAGTGGTAGGACGCTAGGCTCGTGACCGAAGGGTTGAGTGTTCGGGTCACGTCACTGTGTTGTATCTTTGAACAAGGTACTTTACTCCGCTTGTTCTAGTATACTCAGCTGTAAATGAGTATGCGGTTGGGCAGTGCTAGAATTGTTGAATGCTAACTGTGAGTGCCGAAATGGCAACACTAGCTGTATGCTCCCAAGGGAGTTGAGAAAGATACTGACTGGTTGCAAGGGCCCGATAACCTCGGATAATAACGTATGAGCCGCTTTGAGACGACCTACGAACTAGATTTTGATTTATTTATTTATTATCAAAATGTCCAGGAAATACTATGTCAATATGGCGCAAAAACTACTAAAGCATTCGGGCTAGAAGAACATCACAAAGGCGTTGTGACAGCTAATTTGTGATTTGAGTGAGGATGGTTATGTACAAAAGATACGGTCTCATTGACTTTGCTTTGATTTTAAGTTTTAGTTTTCTTTTTCTGAGGTTTCAATTACCTAATTTCCTAAGAGGTACAGAATTACAAAACAGGTAAGTCAAAAGGATAAACTTTATACCGAGAATATTTCCCTCAGTCAAACGTTCACCCTTCACCAGTAAAACCAACTTTCGCCCAGTGTTAATTTCGCCCATCACAATGAATACCGATGTGTACTATGATGTATATTCTTCTTCATTAAGATTGGCGGAAAAGGCAA